ATACCAAAAAACTGCAATCTTAGAAAAAAATGTGTGAATAATCTTAAAAACTAGAATAAATAGAGTAAATCAAGGCCAAAATAAACAGAAGAGAAAAAAAACACACCTAAAAACTAAAGTGATAACAAGGGAAATAGAAAACAAAAATAATAAAGTCAATAAAACCAAAAGCTCGTTGTGTGAGATCTATAAAATGGAAATCTTTTAGCTAGACTGATCAATAAAAAGAAAAAGGGTCTCTCCTCCCACTGCCCAAGATGCCAAAAGGAAGGAAGCCTAAGGGGGGAAGAAGGTGGCACTGGCCCCGACTGTCGTCAAGCAGAAAGCTAGAAAGGTGGTACATTCTGTTGAGAAAAGGCCCAAGAATTCTGGCATTGGCCAAGACATCCAGCCCAACAGGGACCTCACTTGCTTTGGCAAATGGCCCTGCTGCGCTTGGCTGCAGGGGCAAAGGGCTCTTCTCTATAAATGCCTGAAGGCGCCTCCTGTGATTAACCAGTTCTCCCAGGCCTTGGTCTGCCAAACAGCTACTTAACTGCTTCATCTGGCCCACAAGTACAGACAGGAGACAAAGCAAGAGAAGTAGCAGAGATTGTGGGCCTACCTCGGCTGAGAATAAAGCTGCTGGCAAAGGGAATATCCCCACCACGAGGCCACCCACCTTAGTAAAGAACAAGAAAAGGGAGCTGGTAGTGACTGCATGTGATGTGGATCCCATCAAGCTGCTTGTCTTCCCGTCTGCTCTGTGCTGTCAGATGGGATTTCCCTACTGCATTATCCAGGGGAAGGCCAGGCCGGGGCCTCCAGTCCACAGGAAGACCTGCACCACCATCACCTTCGCACAGATGAACTCGGAAGGCAGAGCTGCTCTGGCTAAGCTGGTGGCAGCTAACTGGACCAATTACAATGACAGAGATGATGAGATCTGCTAGGCAACATGCTGGGTCCATAGTCGGTGGTTCACGTTGCCAAGCTGAAAAAGGCAAAGAACTGGCCACCAACCTAAGTATACGCTATTGAGTTTTCTCATAAAAGTAATAAAAATTCTCCTTAAAAAAAAATGGACACAATTACAAATATCAGAAATTAGAGAGGTGACATTATTATAGATTCTACAAATAGTAAAAGAATAGCAAGGCAATTTTTATGAACAATTTTATACTAATAAATTTAACAACTCACATGAAATGGAAAAATTCCTCAAAAGACATAAATATCCAAGCTTATTCAAGAAGAAATAGATAACATAAATAGACACATATAGATGAAAGAAATTAAAATTGTAGTTAAAATTCTATGTACAAAGACAACTCTATGTCCAGGTGGCTTCACTGGTAAATTCTACTAAACATTTAATGATTAGCATTAAATTAAAATAGTACTAATTCTACACAAATGCCTCCAAAAATTTAAATACAAGAGAACACTTTCAATTCATTCTATGAGACCAGCTTTACCTTGATACCAAAACCAAACAAGAACAAGAGCCAGAGCAAGAGAGAGAAAGAAAAGAAATTATAAATTGAACATAAATGCAAAATGCATCTATGTTATGCATCATGAACATAGATGCAAAAATTCTAAACAATATTTTAGCAAATAAATACATTATATTAAAAGGATAATATATCATGACCAAGTGCAGTTTAGCCCAAGAATATAGGGTTGGTTTAGCATTTTAAAACCAATAAAGAAATATACCATACCACAAGTTTGGAAAGAAAATCCACATAATCAACATGGATCTATGTCAATAGACGGGAAACAATTTGATAAGATCCAACATCTATTCCTGATTTGGAAAAAAAAAGGCACAAAAAACCAATCTCAGCAAACTACGATAGAAGGGCAACTATCCTAGTCATCAGGTTCCTCAACCTGATAAAAGCCATTTTAAAAAAGTAATCAGGCTTAATGATAAAAGACTGAATGCTTTCTTTTTAAAATCAGGAGCAATACAGGGACTTCCATTCTCACAACTTCTATTCAACAATATACTGATGGTTCTACACAGTGCAACTGGGCATGAAAAAGAAATAGAAGGCATCTTGATTAAAAAATAAGAAATAAATGCTTATATTCTCAGAGTTATAGTCTGAATGTTTTTGTGCCCCCCCCCCCATTCATATGTTGAAATCCTAATGCCCAGTGTGGTATTGGTAGTCAATGAGTATTAGAAGGTAGGGCCTTCGGAGGTACATGGGTCCTGAGAGTAGAGCCCTCATGGATGGGAATAGCACTCTTATGAGAACGAGCCCACAGAGCTCCCTAGCCCCTTCCAACCATGTGAGGCACAGCCATAAGCAAGAAGAAGGATTTCTCCAGACACAAAAGTTGACCATACAGGTACCCTACCCTCAGATTTCCACCCACCAGAATGGTGAGAAATAAATTTCTGTTGTTTATAAGCCACCCGGTTCTTGGTATTTTATGATAGTAGTTCAAATGGTCTAAAACACACAGAGAAAATGCCCATCAATGCCAAAAAAATCTGTGGAATTAAACTAGAACAATTAAGTGAGCTTAACAAGAATGAATGCAAGAATCAATATACCAAAAAAAAAAAAAAGTCCTCTGAAACTGCAAAATTCCTAGAAGAAAACAGGTAAAAAGTTTTGTGACAGTCTTGGCAGTAGTCTCATGAATATGACATCAACCGCAAAAATAGACAAGTGGGACTATATAAAAAAGTTTCTGCACAGCAAAGGAAATAAAGAGTAAAAAGGCAACACACAGAATGGAGAAAAATATTTGTAAGCAATAAGTGGCTCTGTTAGAAAATATATCTAAGCCACAGTAGATTAATATTGTTATGTTTTAATATATCTTTTTTGATGAAAACTTTTTAAATAACCAAAACAAATTTACATAACAATAAAAATTTGTTCATTCTTACACAAATGATTCTGACTTGTGCATACTTTTCTTTATGCTAATTTATCAAACCCTGAGTGTTATTTCTCCATCTGTGGTTAAATACACATCACTCAAATAAAAAAATTTTAAAATAAGGATCTTACATCTTGGTGTCTATTAATTTGAAATCAGGTTTTTTTTCATTCTGAATAGTTTCAGTAAAATGTATGTTACGGTAGAATGTCTCTTTATGTGCTTTAACTTGGTCTTGTTAAATTGCTAAAATACAACCTTACTCCTGCTTAAGAGTACATCTTCATTATACAAGTTAGCAAATAGCTTATATCAATACAAATGTCCAACAATGTAATGAAATCATTGCTACTTGAAATACTTCCTGCACAAATAATTTAACTCTTTACCATGTTGAAGCCTTACTTTTCAGTATGTTCTATAACTTCTGTATCTTCACAAGCAGGCATTGAAGACACTTCAGCTGTTATAATACTTTTTAATTCCCAAGTTTGATAGGCCACCTCTGATTAAGCCACATGTAAATGTTAAATACTTAGACGTGTGTTCTAAGTTGTTTTCTTGCAGACCTCTGAGTAAACAGACGGGTTTTGTTGTCCTGAAGTACATAGATGCCCTGATGATTTATCCTTAGACTGTCGATTTGTTTCTTGAATACTGTAGTCCAGAAATCTTTACAAATGAATTTCATGATATCTAACTCATCCTTGAACCTTCCTATATGTTTTGTAACCCCATCAATCCTTGTCCACTCCAAACCCTCTGTTTTTCAACTTAGCATCCATTTTCCACACCCCCTTCTCCTTTCAGCCCCGTGGACGCATGACACCACTTCCTTATGGAGAAGCAAAAACAAGACCTCCTTGGCCATTTCCTGCTTATTCTTAAAAGCTCTGGTTTTCCGCTCCCCATTGGGCCAGGCTCGTGGGTGCTGGCTAGCGCCAGAGCGCTTTGGACTACGCAGCTGCTCCCTCGGTCCCCAGCCTGTCCCTGGTTGCTAGGAGACGGAGGAATTCATTTGCCTGGTATCAGGCGAGGTCACCCCAGGGAGGCCAAGTTCTCCAGCCGAATCCTAATATTATGTCTTTATAGCAAGGATATAATTTAAAAAATGATTGCATAGGGAATAATCATCTAAACATTAACTATATTATCCATCATATTATTCTAAGTGTCCCTGATATAAGGAGTCTGCATTCTAAACTTCTTTTAAAATGCAATATCAAGAAACATTCTTTTCAGACCAACTGGCAATGTGTTCATTTGTCAGATAATAAGGTTTAGATATCCAGTATTTCTTTGCCTTGAATACTAGAAAGTTCAAACTAAAATTCATGCTTGATTATGGAAATTAGCTCAAACATTCAAATTTTAAATTTATGACGTTCCCATTTTTCCTTCTAGTTTATATTTTTTATATCTTTATCAGTTCTATTTATGTGACTTTTACTGAAAACTACTTTAAATCCTTTCTGCAAATAAGAAAGATACACATTTAAAAAATTCTCTGGAGCTTAGTACTTTAAAGAAAAGGGCCATATATTATTCGCCCTTATATCCCTTGATACTTCTTTTAAATTTATACTTAGATATTGCTTGTAGCATAGCACACAGTAGGAATTTAACTATGAATGGTTCATACTACCTTTGAAGAACTTCCACACAATGGGAGTAGGATTCATTAATTCAATGATTATTTACTGAGCACTTACTATGTGCCAGACACTATTCTGAAGCCAGTCATACTGTGATGAACAAGAAGAGTGCCCTGGGCTCTGGACAGTGTTGCTCAGTGGTAGAGTGTCAGCCCTCAGGCCAAAGAGTCTCCGGTTCAATTCCAGTCAAGGGCATATACCTGGGTTGCAGGTTAGATCCCTG